GGACAGATGATGTGGCGGGGGCTGGGATCGGGGGGCCCAGGGAGGTGAGTTCATCACTGAAATGGGTCTCTAAGTGCACAGCAGCACCTCTGCCTGCCATCCTTCATGCTGTCCTCAGGCTTCCTGGGGCTTCTTAATGGCCCTGCCGCCCCACAGTGACAGGGCCGTAAACCGCGTGATGGATGAGCAGGAGGCTCGGCGCAGGTGGGAGCCCCATCTGCCCGCCCTGCCCGGTCGTGGCCCGCGGCCATGTCTTGACCCCCACGCCCCATCCCTCACGCTTCCCCAGGTCAGATGCAGAAGCCATTTGAAGACGCCTCCTTTGCACTGCGGACGGGGGAGATGAGCGGGCCCGTGTTCACGGATTCCGGCATCCACATCATCCTGCGCACAGAGTGAGGGGTGTGGGTGGCCCAGGCCCGGCCTGCAGGGTAGGGCGGGGCTAGACGGGTGGCTGGGCCCACGGACCCTGCTGCTCCCTGCTGGCCACCAGGTGCCCCTCCCTGCTAATGTCACAGTATTTATTGTTCCCAAAATGGCCGGGGGTGGGGGAGCTCTTCACCACTGGGGGCTCCCTCTCTGCCCCCAGTTGGGGCTGTCCCTGCCAGACTCCTCTCCCCTTTAGGAATTGACTTCAGAAGGGCGGCTGCGTGGGGAGGCTCCCAGACAGAAGGGGTGGGGGTGACCCGTCCCAAAGAGAAGGCCTAGTCAGCTGAGCTGCCCCCTGCGTCCCCCGACCCAAGTCCAGGATGGGGGCAGGAGGCCCCCGGTTGTTTCTGGTTATGCTATGTTCCTCTATTCAATTGCAAAAAGCACATGCTCCACTTGGGGCCCGGGCCGCCCAGCCGCCTTGGGGCCTCGCTGAGCATCAGTGCAGCACCCCCCTTGCCCTCCATTAAACTTGGAACCACTGCTCTGCTGTCCTGTGTCTCGTTCCGTCCCCGCTGAGGCGAGGGGGCAGCTGTCGGAGTGGCAGTCCTGTTCCGCCGTCCCTAGTGTCCAAGCTGCATTTCCTCCCTGAGAAGCTCCTCTTCATCCCGGGCCCCGGGGGCTCCTAGCAGGGAAGACACCAGTCAGCGCCAGTGGTCCTCGAACTCGGGTGTTCAAGAATGTTCTAGAAGGCAAGAGCAGTGCACTGGCCCCGCATCTCTGCATGCGGCAGACCCAGGTGGAGCTGGGGATCTGCAGGGGATCCTTGGAGAGCCAGACTGAAGCCTCCCGCCCCCACTGCGCCGGGTGCCCTCCACACACACACACACCCCCATACCCTCCACAGGCCGCTCCTAAATAGAACAGATTACATCCAGCACCCTGATGCCTGCTTCCCTGTTACCACAAATGCTTCTGGCAGGTTGTTCCTGGGTCCTGCCTCCTCCTCAGATGTTGTTACCTTAGCAACACGGAACCGGCGGGAAGGGAGAAGGGCCACCGCCAGGCACCTCTGAGAGCGGGCATCCCGCCCGGCCCTCTGGAGGAGGGCGTCCCTGGACTGGACCCTGGGTAAAAGGCTGTCTTGGGAGCAGAGGGGATCCCTGTGGCACATCAGCTGGACGCATCTGCCCGGTGGCCTGCGGGTGTGGCCCCCCTGGTTTCCGTCACCTCACAGCTGCCCCTGTGCCAGGGCCTAGGCTGGGGGCCCAGTTCATTCAGGGGGTTTGTGGGTTTCACCCACTCTGCCCCCTCAGTTAATGGGAACCAGTCCGGATCGGGGGGGGTGGGGGATGGCAGGCTAGCAGGGCTCGGGGACCTGAGCAAAATAAAGGCCTGCCCAGTCCTACTGACCCCAAGGGAGGCCCCCAAGACTGTCTCATAAACAGTCACCTGGGCCAACTCCCATCTGGCTGGTTTCTGGAGCGATCGCTCTCTGCTCACTGCCTGCCAGAGTGTCATTAGGAAGGTTTAATGGGTTTCCTCTCAGCTCTGGCAGGCTGTGGGGGGAGCCGGCGGGCTGGCTGCACCTCCAAGCAGAATCTTAACATCGCCTGCGGGGGCCACGAGGCAGGCAGCAGCCCGTCCCTCGTTTGCACCAACAATTCTCTGGGGTCCCGGAGGGCTCACCCCCCCACCCCCACCCCACCGAGACAGCAGAGCCTCTGGGAAGGGGCAGGAAAGAGGGCGGGGCAGGGGGGAGGGTGTGGAGAGGGGGTTGAGACGCCGCTGGGGAGTGTGATGTGTTTTCCTGGGTGGGGTTGGCAGGGAAATGGTCTTTGTGGCATTCCCTGTCACTTTGGGCGTGTGTGTGTGTGTGTGTGTGTGTGTGTGTGTGTGTGTGTGTGTGGCTATGTGACTCTAGTTATCCCTAGGTGTGTGTCCTGGGTGACACTGGGAGTCCCCCTGACTGGATGTGACCACTCCCCTCCGTGGACCTCCTCCTCCCTTTGTCCAAACAAAAGAATATGGCTGTTAAGTAAACGTGCCCGGAGTCGGCTCAGTGTCAGGCTGTGGCTCCCCTCACCTGCTGCACATTCCCACCCGCTGCCTCCTGCCTGGAGGTGGGGCTGTAAATCCCAGGCCTTCTGGGGACGACGAAGGTGCATTCGTCCCTCCTGGCCCTTTAGTCGGGCATTTCCCCGCCCCAAATGCCCTGGGGACGGGGGTGGTTTCCACTCTCCTGCCACAGGCACCAGCTCGGGCTTCTGTGGCCACGCGGTAGGGCCGGAGTAGGTCACCTCAACTCGGGGTGACGCGGGCTCTGCCACGAGATGGGCTGCGAAGCTTCTCCAGGGTGGCCAGGCACACGTCCGGAGGGGGAAAGCCAGAGTTGGCGGCAGCAGCCTAAGGCACGCAGATCCTGCCCTACCTTGGTCGGCACAAAAGCTACAGACAAGCGTCAGGAGTGCTGGGGCCTGCCTCTGTGTGTGACGGGGGGAGAGGGCGCTTAGGGCGCCAGGCGCTCTGGGCATCACTCGGAGGACAGGCGTACCGACGGGACGGACACCCACGGCCCGCCCGGTACTCTGTGCCCGGTTCCAGGTTTGTGTGTGTTTGGGACAGAGACTCAGCAGCCCTCAATCCCAACCTTACTTTGGGAGTTGGAGGGACCAATGAACTTCTGCCCGCCCCCACTGTGAGCTATCTGGGGGATTTGCCTCCAAATCAATGTATGGGGGCGGGGGCTCAGGGGACCTAAGTGTCCCAGCCCTGTGTTTTTTTTT